CAGTCCGTTGGGGCATAAGCCGACACGACAAACAGGCACTGCTTTTTATGCCGCGAGGCATTGAGCTTGATTGAACTGGATAACCGGACGGCGCAGAGACGACTATTCACTGGCATCCAATCCAGCAAAGCGCGTTCAGTTCTGGGGCTGAATGCGGCTCCCACGCCATATATTACACGAGTCATCGCTCCTGGGTCACCGGACACACGGAGGGAGAAATGTGAGAGAGCTGAGTTCATTCTTGGCGTTCTGATATGCAGAGCCACGCTCGGGTCTTGTATGCACACAGCATACATCAATTTTAAGGGAGTACAAGGTTTCAGCAAGCATTGCCTGTTTGCCAATTTGACATAGAGTACGGACGTTAAAAGCTCCTACATAGAAAGGATCTCGTAGATTTAGAAAGGTGTTATTTTGTTTATTTTTTGTAGGCAGCGAGGAGCATAAGGACCTTCGGTCAGATAACTGACAGTCAAATGGCCCAGCGACGTTTGCTTGTGCACTGGGAAGGGGTTGGGGAGGGACATCGGTGGACGCTGAACTGCGCGGGCAAATGATACTTCCCGGTTGCCCAGGCCGAGGAAGGGGGTTTGGTTGAGGTACCCCACCTTGAGCCTTCGACTCAAAAGTCTGACCAACAAGGCGGTGGGATGACGTAGGGTTTTGTTCGGGGACCCTGACCCTAGCCTTTGGCTCAAAAGCCTGACCCATGAGGCAGTGGGAGAGTGTGGGGTTTTGTTCGGGGACCCTACCCCTAGCCTCTGACTCAAAAGTCTGACCCACGAGGCAGTGGGAGAATGTAGGGTTTTCTTTGGGGACCATGTCCGGAGCCGACGACTCAACAGTCTGACCTGCTCGGCTGCAGAGGGTTGGCCAGACCTGAGGGCACAGGGAATACGGTATTATTGTCTTATTCCTAATGCGGCTGCGCACAGCAGGTGCCTTTTGAGCAGCACCGGGCTCTTTGGTTTTCAAAGTACTACGATCGTATTGGATAATGCGCCGGCGGTCACGGTCAACCGTTGGGCGATCGGAGTATGCGGTTTTTGGGGCCGACTTTTTCTAATCCGTCCTTCCTCAGGGGAAGGCAGCATCGCTGCTTCCATAAATATGGACATGCTAGTAGCCTGGGGGAGACACCTTACTGCCTTCACACTCCTGTCGCAGAGGACAGTACGACTTTACCCCTAGACCGCCTCGTAGCACGATTACTCGTAGTACGGGGTCTCGCTGCTCTTGGTCTGGCTGCTCCCCTTTGGCCTTCCTGGCATGGTTGCACCATGTGGAACGAAGTTTCAGCCGGTGTAGCCTGCGGGATCGCTGCAGCACTCAAGCCCGACCACCACGTCAAGGTGGCAGGTTTAGATCGGCTTCTTTTTGCAAAGTACGAACTGGAAAATAGAATGTTTACGCTCGTTTTTCAATCAAACGCGCGCAGTTTTTTTCGGGTCGTTTTCAATCCCTGATCCTAAACGAGCACGTTTATGTTGATTAAAAGTAAAAAACCGAGGACTAACTTTCATTTTAAACAAGTTCTAACCTAACAAAACCTAGAGATCTCTAGGTGACTGTACCAAGTGGTAACGGCTAATAAATGTCCTTGGAAAACTTGAATTGTCTTCGCGAGTAATAGGACATCTAATATTAGAATGTGATACTACAAGTTTTTTTGAGTCTTCCTTGTCTGCCTCAGAATGTATAGAAAACGAACAAAATCGAAGAAAACAATGAATTAGACATCGCACCTTACTACTGAAGGCTGAAATGGATTTGGTGCCATCCATGTAGTCGATAAGTGAGTGTTTGGCTAAGCGAGACTCACGGTCTGCATATAGCTTTTTTGTGCACATAGCAAGCAGAAAGAAGTGGTATTCGTGCCCCTGGACCCAAAACTTGCCTACATAACGTTTTGTATGGTTGTCCCTCAACCGTTTTGACCGATCCTATTCGTCCTAATGTGCGTGGCTGCTGTGTTAGTAGACAGTTCTATCGGTTGTCCAGAAAAATACCTTTAGCGGGCTCATGTCGTTCGGCACTACAACTCTCTGGTTTGGGTTGCCAGTTCATCTCATTTTTTGCTGGTATATATATATATATATATATATATGTATATATATATACAGGTATCATGCACCCGACTTCTTTATGGGAAGTCACCCACGATACAGTCCCAAAGAGGAATTAGCGAAGGACACTAATAAAGACAGGTGCTCATTTTGACTCGGTTTGTCTTCTTTTCACTAGTTCACAGATTGAGTGCAAAGTGCATGAGGTCATCATTTATTATATCAGTGGGGTGTTTCAACGACTACTTTCACCTCTGATTGTTTTCAAACTTTGAAAGGAACCGCTTGGTGGAATGAGTAACCAGATCGGTCTGCTTGAATGAGAGCATTCACACACTTCAGGGAGCAGAAAGAGGAACTGAAATGTCCACAGAACTGAAAGGTACGTCCTGTTGAAAACTGGTACGATTCAACTGGAAAGTGTACTGTTAAGAGAGGCTCGCCGCAAGCCAAGCCGACCGATTGGTTAGAAAATTGAAAATCGGTCAAATAGTTGACAAGGCAAACACGAAGCCGTCGAAAATGAGAGTCGAGAAATTCAGCTACGGTCTTTTTTGATATTTTAAGATGAAACTCCCACTCTTACATGCTCAGGACTTTTCCAACGACAGACAGAGCCGATTTACTAGTGGTCGGGTAACCAGTTGTTGGTTCATGTTTTACGTGCATCAACCGGTAAATACCAACGAGGGGCTAGATAAAGTTTGCATTCGCTTTCGCGCGAGAGTACATAATGAAATTAACAAGCGCGTGCAAATTCCCACAAAATTGACCTATCAAAGGCAACGAAAGTTGCACATCTGTACGATTGTAACATTGCTAGACCTGTACAAGCCATGCACAGAAAACAAATAACTCCAGGCTTCTACAGGCAGTTGGCGTTCCACTCGTGGGGAGTCAATAATGGAGGTATTCGAAGGTATAAGTTGATGGCTAAATCAAATTACTCAGGGTCTGATCGATTCGAAAGGATTCGTACGAGCGTGGAAATCAACTATCAAATAAAAAGTCGTTCAGGTGTAATTGGAGGCCTAGCTACTCTACCACCCTAGAGGAGCACGAGGGTTGAGATACTGTCGGATTGCTCAAACCTAGATAGAAGTTGCGATTCCGGAGTAATGTCAGTGAATTCGAGCCTTAAACAATGAGGTATCTTGGTCTCAATTATTCAAGTATCACTGATAAACCCGAAAAAACCACATCCTCAAACTCCAGCTGAGAAAGTTCTATTACCGACCTATTCTTCGGTATTAACATAAAATCTGTACTGTATTTTTACGCACGGTTGTAGTGATTGTGATTCGCTCCTAATTTTTCGGATTCTCCATTCGTATCCATACTGTATGTATACTCACGTACATAACTCTGTAAGCTGTACATTATTTCGTAGGCTACCAACAAATAAAAATCGACCCAATACCATGTCTCCACTTTTTCCACTCGTTTTTATTGCGGAGGATTTAAATCTTAAAACTGCAAAGCGGAAGTCGGTCACTTTTAGCTTCTGTACAACCAAGCTTCTCTTCAGGACAACTGTGAAGAATCACGACAAGACAACTACTGAACTCTTCCATTTGGAATTATATTTTAATGTGTTTGGGCTACACACCGAGAAGCACTTTTACGTGAGTTATCAAACATCGAAACCATTCGCTTGCAATGTTGTCTATTGTTATGTAATCTTTTTGTGGTGATACCTTGTGGCTTTTTCCCAAATTCCTTTCCTATTTTGGTATAAGAGAGCTTGGCTACTGTGGTGCACCTCCTGTCAATCTTGAGACTACGTATCATACAGGACATTTTTTCTCCTGAACGTTTCCATTGTCTAAGTGGTCAGTAAAGCGGTCTAAAAAAACTTCGTTAGGGTTATCCGCTTTGGTTGATAGGAAATGTAATTCAGGCCAAAAGTGGGTACAGGTCCATGAGTAATTTTTACAGATTAAACGCCATTTTGTTGCTCACCCACAAAACCTCCATTTACCCCAGAGAATAAATACTTTAGAGAGCCTGTGTGACACCGCAACATTGCCGACGTTTTCTTGAACGGCCCTTACCACGCAGTGGGAAAAGGGAATATTTCCAGTTCGAAAACGACTAGTTACTCAACTCACCGACACTTCCACCACAGTTTTCTAAAAAGCGCCTCGCTCGCAGCTTTGCGTCTTCAGGAATCGCAACAGCTTGGATGAACTCAGGATAAGTAGCGGCACATAAGACTTGGCGAATAAAACTGATTGGTTTTTGGCCAGAGGCGTGGCAATCCCCTATATTGCATTTGATCACATGATCATATTTTTTCGCGGCGCCCTTGGGCAGCTGTCAGAAATTGCGAGCACCTACCTTCTGCAACTCAACTTCTATCTCCTGGGCTCGTTGTACTATTGGACCACGAACGGCGTACTGCAGACGAACAACGTGGGGGTTTATAGTGTCAACTTTTAGTTTTGTGTATCTTCTCCTATTTCCTTTGTTGTAAGCTAGGTGACGCAAAACTTTTCGACAAATGAGCATTGCGGGGCCCACGTGATAACACAACATGGAAATCAAAATTTTGCCGCATGGGTTGTGTTCAGCAGTGGGCTTTGCCTTCACTTTTTGGCTTGTTACGTGTATGACAGCAGGAACGATGCCCGTACAAGTTCCAGTACATTTTCCTCACAGAAACGGGAGGTTTTATTTGAAGAGACAACATCCACTGCGAACCTTATTCGGTAACAGTAATGTAAATCTTGGCGGTACATTTGAAAAAACGCTTCACCTTCGCCCTTGCGAGATTTCTAATATTTTATCGTTGACTTCTCTTCACGCTTATGTGGACTACCATTTCTATGTTAAATTTTCATGCGTAGGTTGAGAAAACACTGAGAAAACAACTTTATACATTAAGCGAACAGAGGTTTCTGGACGACAAGAACAAAGTCGATCATGGAAGCTTGGGTGAAAGCCTCTATCCTGTGTATCAATCCGTGAATCCGTGAATACCGGCTCCGCCCCCTAGGTCTAAATAAACCCTGATGAATATGCCTCAAGCTTGATAACCAAAGACACACTTGCATCACCTTGGCGCGGTATCCTTGGAAAGCGCTACTGAGTCCGTAAATATGGATTTCGTTATTTTATTCGATACAGCGGGTACATACCTAATAGCACAAAATTTGATGGCCACTCTTAGTGGTACCATGAAATTTTGTGGCATTTTCGGTGACCCGTTCACTGTTCTGTCGAATGCGACCCGGCTGCTCTATTGCATGGAGTGTCTCCCTCTGTCCATTTTTGTTCAACCATCAACTTCGAACCTTACTCCCGACATCCCGCCTTCTATCAGCACCTTGTTTTCTGAGATCTTCCACCCTTCAAAATAACGAAACTGCATAGTTGGAATGCAATCCAGTCATTATTGTCCTCACCTATCCGGGGGCTCTGCTCCAAGGCAACATCAGTCTCTCAAGTTATTCGAGAGGCGGGGCAACCGTCCCGTTATTTTCTCGGAAAGGATTTGCCCACCCATGGCCACGCCTAATTTTATCACAAGATCCTTGCCTAGACGGCGATCAGATTATACTTATAAACATTCATACACCCTAATCAGTAGCATTTCCAGATATCTGCGGAGGAACCCATCTATCAACTAATCAACCCGCATCAGAGCAAGTTATTGTCCAAGCCTGCAAAGCACCTCACAATGTCCTTCATGTATTCTATATGCCCTCCCATATTTCGGAGGAACGGAATCGAGGGCCGAACCGCCCAAACATGTGGCGGCTCCACTGAATATCTTCGTTTCCCATGTCCCCCACACAGCACCGAAAATCAGCCTCTGATCTCACCATCATCTGTCCAGGATAATAGTCTGACCCGACAACCATCAAGGAGATATCCTCTCACACCTGGCACCCAGTCAGTGTCCACTGCAACGGACCACATTCGTTTCAAAAATTCCCGGCCTTTGGCGTCTAAGCAGATGGTTCAGCAGAACAACAAAGCCCACCGGCACCAAAGCATAGGAAAAACTAACCATGCGATGCAGCCTATTGGCTCCCACACACGAAAACTTTTCCATCCCTTTCGCACAAAAGGGGCGATCTCTGTGCTCCTTCGTCCCTTAGCCACCAGTGTTGATTACTGATCCTCGGCGGGCAAATGATCATCTCTCTAAAATATTTGAGGGTCGAATAGATGCTTCTACGCTCAAACCGTTAACCAACATATGCGCCTCATTGATGTTCGAAAATTTTATTTAATCTTCATTTCTAACGTCTGGCGCACATTCGAGTTTGAAGTTGCAGTGCTGTGAATTCGCCGGCGGCTAGACGCACAATGTATTTTTCTGCAAAACGCCTGCGGACGAAATAAAAACTTTGACGTCAAAATGTTGCACTTCTTTGCATATATGCGTAGACTGAAAACCCTCCTCATCTGCCGCATGTTAGTGGTGTGCGTCGGTTAAGATCGTCCAGCTGTCTGGTATTATCGACGTAGGCTCTATGTGGCTAGTTAGTTAGGTATCGTGTACCCCTAGCCGCATGTTAGTGGTGTGCATCGGTTAAGATCGATGAACCCGAAGGACTTTCTAGCAGAACTCGGAACCTGTAATGAAAAACTCTGCAAGTTGCCAATCAACGTTCACGATGTTTAGCAAATAATTAGCATGCACCACTGGCAACAAGGAATCATCGGCCAAAAGTTGTTTGCACGAATGCGCCTGCGCATAAGTTGCATCAACATAGGCCATTTAGATTCTAGAATGTTGAGGAAGTCTGTTCCGGTGGAAAAATACCTGAAAGTTACGTTCATTGTAGGTGAGTCAACCTTTTCCACAATTCGCGATTTTTTTCATCCGTGTTATTCAAAGTCGGCGGTGTTTATTCACCTGCAGATTTAGTTCACTTAAACAAATCGCCATAGTAAAGGATTTTCAATAATACAGGAGCATGTACCTTATACATAGACATTCTACACTATGAAGTGGCAGGTCTGAAAATGCCGTAGATTTCGAGAAATCAATCTCATTGTGCGAATAGCCAGCGGCGTGCATTCATATATGCCTTGGATATGTTTTCCTGCGAAATTGGCGGCTCTCCGGTCTTCATTGTTCACGGCATTTGAGAAGTCGCTAAATTAATACGTGAAAAAATTGTTTAGTATTAAAGCACTAACACGCGTTACGAGTGAGTACACTGCAAATGTTTGTATGCAACCATATTTCTTTGCTTTCATTTAAACAAAGGTTATTCGGTATGAAGAGAAGAGGAATAAGCTGAGATTTAGGGAGAGATAGAAAGTGGTACAACTTGAGTAATGATAAGTTACAAAGAAAGTACTAATGTACAATGGTCAGAAAGATCACCATACAGTAGATGGTCATTAAAACCAACTCAAAATCAACGAATCCGTAGAATCTAGTAAGTTAGGCGCATTCCCTTATACTAAACAGTACATGAAGCACCACCGGTCCAGCAGATCTTCCTCTAAGGATACATATAAACAATCTGGAGTCACCTCTTATTTTTTTGAACACAACTATAGGGGCTCCAAGATTTTAGAATGACTTTCGGTAAATCGACGGCTAAACGGAGATTAATCGTCGACCTGATGGGGTCCTGATGAAGTATGGAATGTCGTTCGGTGAAGTGCGGCAGGTTGTAGCCGATGAATTCGGTCAGGTCCTTGCCACTGAGGGCATGTACAACTATCGCTGGAAGTGCTAGTAGGATTGAAAGTGGGAACGGCCAATTCAGCTACAAATACTTCGCCAACAGGCCGGAGATGGTACTGTTTTGACGCTTCTCGAATGTTGCAAACGTAGTAAATGTGGTAACTGCTTCCCTTTCAAACAAACGAATGCTCCAAATAAATTGGCTCCTATACTGGTGATGTGGATTCTCTATACCGATTAGTTCTCCGCATTATGATGCCAGTCTGTTCCATGCGGTGAGGAATGTTTTCATATATTTTAGGCCGCTCCCACATCAACCAATCTACCGGAGCAAGGAAGAAACCTGACAATTTCCCCCAAGCCACCGCCACCAGCTTACGATGGCCTGCACAAGCATGTGGCTGATGAACTTCAGGCGCTGCTATCCAGGACGCCCATGACCGTCATAAAGCAATGGGTTGTTCAAAGGCAAATCCTGCTGCGACAGAGCTCAAGGTCTGTGATAAAAGCCTGTCACTGGTGGTGGATTTTTATGCGCCTTAACCCGGGTGGCGGTCTAGTGACAGAAAGTTGGACTTTCGTGCGCTTTGTGACCTGCCGACAATTCACAAAGACCGCTGGTGTTCAACTGATCGCTTATCGTATCGCGAAACGGTTGCGGTGGTCAAACTTGCCCGCCGTACAGTGACGATCTTCGGACTTGTGCCAATGTTGAGCGTGCAGATGATCAGTTTGTTTTGCTTTCTAAATGCCTGCCTATCCAGAAAGTGCACGTGTGCTTGCCAAACGGTCTGCAATGAAGGCATGTTGCGATCTGACTTGGACCACAGCACAGAAACATAGCACAGTGTGTCCCAGAATTCTGCGTGTGTCCATATTTACGGCTCCAGGGAGGATCCATCCGACATCCATGGGTTAATAGCATAATACTAATGCCAATGTTGTACAGCGCCATTTGGAAGAAATAGACGATGGTGCTTTCACACGATTCCTGTAAGGACCATTCGTTTTAGTCTACTTTTCAAATAACGAGGCATCGTTTACTGAGGGAATTTCCAGTATTTTTTGAGACTCAATACCCAGTAAGCATCCGCCATATGAAATAAAGAAATATGAAACAGCAATTGAAGCTGACTTCATGAAATCACGATAATACGACTTTGACGCCCGTAAGTGCTCACTCTACGAGATAAGTGCTGTTCCCAGTTTGCCTGCAGTCTGTCTCAGCGATATTTCGATAAACTAACTTATCAATCCCTCTCATTTCAGTAAGTCAACGGACCTACAAACATTGAGCATCAAGAAGATCGTATGCTCCCTGGTGCGACATGTAGTAATCAAAACGCTCAGTAAAATTCAACTTTTCATCTCGTCAAAGTTGGGCCATTGAAATGTCTCAGTCGAAGTAGATGGACTCTTTTCTGCTTACTGATTGGCAGCATGTTGTACATGACTCTATCTCTCTTCCCGCTAGCATTTGTCGAAATAGTGTAGCACAAACTGAGTTAATGCGGGTGTCATTCAGTACTTATAGGACTCTTCCATCTCAACGTGCCCAATTATTAATTCAACCTACCCGGTCTCAACATTACCTACAGCTTCCGTCCTGCTACGACCAAATCATCTTTCAGGACTTCAGTGCACATTCATTGATGGGAGAACAATGCTGTTTCCATAGTCTGGTCCAATCAGTGATGTGCAAACGGTCAATTACACAGTCATCCTCATCTCACCAACCCTTCTTGATTTCGCAAAGGGTTTCAATCCACGCTTATGGGCCTCATATTTTATTGGATGTCCAAATACGGACGACATAAGAGTTGGACTTTTCCAAGTAGTGGCCAAGCCGCTTTATGTTGAGGTCTCAGTCCTTGGTGGAATC